GGGAATAAGGCAGGGAGGTCAAAAATTCACAGGTAAAAGGATGACTAGAAAATGGAAAGCCTTCAAAAATGAGATAATGAGAATCCAGAGACAGTGTGTTCCCGTTACGGTGAAGGGCAAGGCTGGTAGGTGTAGGTAATGCTGGCTGGCTGGAGAAACTGAGGTTTTGGTCAAGAAAAAGGAGGAAGCATATGTCAGGTACAGGAGCAGGGATCGAGTAAATCCCTAGAAAGAGTATAAAGGCAGTAGGAGTATACTTAAGAGGGAAATCAGGAAGGCAACAAGGGAACATGAAATAGCTTTGGCAAATAGGGTTAAGGGGAATCCAAAGGGATTCTGCAAATACACTAAGGACAAAATGGTAACTAGGGAGAGAATAGGGCCCCTTAAAGATCAGCAGGGCTCCCTATGTGTGGAACCACAGGAGATGGGAGAGACACTAAATGAGTATTGTGCATCACTGTTTACTGTGGAGAAGGATATGGAAGATAGAAAACGTGAGGAAATAAATAAAAATCTGTCCATATTAAAGAGGAGGAGGTGCTGAATGTCTTAAAATGCCTGAAGGTGGATAAATCCCCATGACTGATCAGGTGTACCCAAGAACTCTGTGTGAAGCGAGGGAAGTGATTGCTGGGCCCCTTGCTGAGATATTTGTATCATCGATAGCCACAGGTGAGGTGGCGGAAGACTGGAGAATGGCTGCCATGGTATCATTATTTAAGAAAGGTGGTAAGGAAAAACCAGGGAACTATTGACCAGTGAGCCTGGCATTGGTGGTGGGGCAAGTTGTTGGAGGGAATCCTGAGGGATAGGATTTACGTGCATTTGGAAAGGCAAGAACTGATTAGGGATAGAAAACTTGGCTTTGTGTGTGGGAAATTGTGTCTCACTGACTTCATTGAGTTTTTTGAAGAAGTAACGAAGAGGATTGATGAAGGCAGAGCGGTGGATGTGATCTGTACGGACTTCAGTAAGGCGTTCGACAAGGTTCCTCATGGTAGACAGGTTAGCAAGGTTAGATCACATGGAATACAGGGAGAACTAACTATTTGGATACAGAGACTACAAGGTGCAGGGCTGGATGAACTGGATGACCTGTCCGTCCTCCCTGTACTGACCTATCCCCTTCCTAACTCCCTACCTACACTCACCTTTCCTGGCCCCATCCCCGCCTCTTTGACCTGTTTGTTTCCTCTCCACCTGCAGGCCAAGCAGCATCATAGGAGCAGAGAGGCTGACGTTTCGGGCCTAGACCTTTCATCAGAAAAGGGGGAGGGGAAGGGGGTTTTGAAATAAATAGGGAGAGAGTGGGAGGCGGATAGAAGAGGT